TATGGTTTTATCATACTGTGGAAATTGGTCAAATTTGAACCGATATTCATATGATGTAGCTCTTGATCTATAGGCCTCTGCCACTCTAGCCATAAATTCATTTTCAGAATTAACGAAAAATCTTCCAGTTTTCAACAGACTAAAAGTTCGGTTGTGGGACCAAACGCGTCCATCATATGCTGAAAGTAAATGAATTGGACAAAAAAATGGGAATCAAAAGAATTCGCAAAGATTACTGAATGCTTGTACATCAAACATAGCATCTTATTGAAATTACACAAAATTAAAACTATGACATTAATTAATGTGCAAAGATTTTTGATTTTAGCTTAGAAACGCATTAAATAATTATATTAAACCTACAATCTCCATTGATGGATGAGACGAAACACAGAATAAAGAATGATGATAAACTTCTCATGGTTGGTCTGAAGTTACAGATGATTTGCACTTGAAAAATGTTTACATGGAAACTGTTTTCAAATATTTATCACAAAAAAAACTCCGATGGCAGCTTTATATCAGTGTTTACAAGCGGTAATGACCTGGGCTAGTTGTATAGATAACCCACACTAGATGGCAACCAAGAAACAGAGCAACAGAGCATAAAATACAATAGAGTAAATAGAGTATTTAAAGACTTTGTTGTATTTTGGACGAATGAAATGAATGTTGCGATAACTGTAATAAAAGACAGAAGTAATGAATAATATTAACCTGTTCGGAGAAAAGATTGGACGTTAACTTTGATGTGGCAAATCGAAGTAGCCGTTAAAATATTGAGAATATTTCAACAGTTTTTTGTAGATTTGTAAATAAGAGTATGAAAAATGTCTGGTGAAAATTTGAAATTTCTTGACAGAAGATTCAGTTAGTTATCGAACATGGAACAGCGCAGAGCAAGAAAATGTTTATGTAAACGTGAATGTTTGACAGATGATCTGATCTAAAAATTTTATATTTTGTCTGCATATTAGCGCATTTACAGCCTCGCAAAGTTGTCGTCCAATCTTTTTTCCGAACAGGTTAGAACGTTTTATAATTTCGTTAATCAATTACTTTTCGTTCCAATCAGTCTATTTTTTAAATGAAAAAGTTTTCATCTCTCATTGAGGAAAACCAAATAAAATCTATTTTAAACTTTGAAAGTGATTTTATCAAAAACCTTCTAGGAATCATAGAAATCTTGCAACTACACGAATGGTTTCAGTTCTTATAACCCTAAAAGTTCATCAGGTACAGATTTTTCACCTAACTCTTTACTTTTTACTCCAAAACATAGTTTCACATAAAATTCTGATCCAACAATCACAATTTTGATAAGACTTGCCATAGTTTCTGATGTTACTCTTCAGAAAAGATGAATCTTTTTGTATCAAATGTTTTACTGTAATGTCACTTCTGTATTGGCCAGATTAATTGACCCTGACTTTGTCAACCATTTACATCTCAGTCTGGCAAGATATGGAAATTCAGTTCCAAACGTGATTTTCCATTTCTGGTTGAACAGTAAAATCTTCTGGTTAACATCAAAATCTCTTTCGATTCCCTTCGGTCCTTGTCTCCGTCCAGCTCAATTCAATGTCTCCATTCAATCCTTTTTTTCATCTAACGTACACTGGATAAAAATTAGAATGCTGCCAATGAATTAACTGTCTTTATAAGCCACCTTCATGGTCATCAATTAGCATACCACTGGAGGAACCAACACAAGACAGTCATTGGCTCCATCGACACCAGAACCAGATTCATTCGATACATGAATACATTTTAAAGAATCACTCTTTTATTATTATTGTGCATAA